CATGTGCCCTGCCCCCCCCGTACCTCACCTGGGGGAACTGCGTTCCCCCGCGTTCCCCCCCGAAATGACCTCTGCGACATTCAAACATATTCATGAATAGTAGTTAGTTGTGGATCAGCCTAATTTCAGCCTACTCTGGCTCCTACTCTGAGTCACTCTGTTTATTGTGAGTGTGCGTGAAATAACAATTGATATAATGCCCCACAGTGGACAAAACGTCTAGCAGTCTGCCATTGTACTTACTTGATACTGAACCTTGTACTAAATCAACTGCAGGATAGTACCATAACGTATTCTGAAGTTGGGTTTTTGATCTTCTGGCTTGGGCTCACAACTGGTGAAATTGGACAGCACTGGATTCACAATTTGTGCTGTTGCATGTTTTTTCCAGGAGTGGATCTGCTTTGGCTCAACTGTACGGGACGTCCGCTACCCTGGAGCACCATCATTTTAACCATGCTGTCATGATTCTTCAAAGTGAGGTACAAAGCCAGCTGTATCTTTTGTAGCTGCAAATGTCTAGAGTAAGCCTTTTCTTTCTTTTCCAGTTGAAGCATATTGATTATTCATTTCTGTCACTGCCAACATGTGTAAAAAGCATTCTGAGAATTTTTTTTTGTCGTATGTATCTCTGGGTTTTATGAAACAATGTTTTTGTAACATGAGCCCCCTGTGCCAAAGAAGTACAGCAAAGCAAGCCAGCCTGGAATGTGTCTGATTTTTGCGGTTTATAGCTGTAGAGCTGCAATATCCTAGTAAATTATTCTGCGTCGTAAATACTGTGTATCCTTCCCCCAGAATATAGGTTAACATTGCTGCTGCCTGAATTAATACAGTAACTGTACAGTCTGTGGGACAGTTCTACCACGGCCCTCTTGGTATTCTTAGAAAAATGAGTTCATCTGGTCAGAAAACTCAGCTATTTATTTTGTGAGGTAAATTGTTGATTGCTTTTCTTTCTGTCCTTCCTCAACACTGAACATCCTTTTTACAGACTACGAATAGATCTGTAGAAAAATAAATAAATAAACCTGATTAATTGTGAATGACTCTTTCTGTTAAACCTAATAATGAAATGTCAAGGATTGTGTTTATTCTTGTTTTATAGTTTGGTTCTTACAATGGTTAGCAAATTAAGAGGGGGATCCTGAATGGAATTACACCCTTCTGATCCTCTTGACAATCGATTTAAGAGGTGATAACTGCTTAGGACCCTGACCTGGCCCAGGATAGAGGTGATAACTGCTTAGGACCCTGACCTGGATGACCCAGGATAACCTGCTCTCCTCAGACTTCAGAAACAAGGCAGGGTTGGCCCTGGTTAGCACTTGGATGGGAGACCACCAACAAAGTCCAAGGTCGCTACGTGGAAGCAGGGAGTGGGGAACCACCTCTGAAGTCTCTCGCCTTGAAAAACCCACGAGGGGTTGCCGTATGTCGGCTGTGACTTGATGGCACTTTACACACACAGCCATTTAGGATAGATCTGTAACCAATGCTCCCTCTACACTGTGGAGTCTTGAGAGCAAAAATTCTACTTTGTGAGTTACCGGCATGAAAGCCGTGAGGGAGCGATTTGGCTGCTACATAAATTAGTTTGCTCCGGAGCCATCCTTCCTGAGCTAAGGCAAAAGTGTGTGAGCCGGAGGCTAAAAAACTGAGCTAGCTCACACTAACTCAGCTTAGAGGGAACACTGTAAGCAAAACACTCCAATTAGTTTTGCAAAGAAAAGGTAATGATCATTGCATACATCTTCATAAGCTTGCTTTCCCATTTTGAAATTTCCCATTTACGTTTATACCGTATAAGTTTACAGCTGTGTATGCTGGCCGTAATGTTTGAACTGGCTCCTGGCACCAGTCTTCGTACTCTTGGGGCTGATTCACAGCTCGATGGAAATAACAGTGACCCTTCCCTCTTCTTCTGCCCAGCAAGTCACCCTTGAAATCTGGGGTTCTGAGGAGTATGAGGAACTGCTGTTGAATTTTCTGCCTCATGCACCAAAATGTTTTGAGTTGTCTTTGAGAACCTCAGCAGGCCTTCTTGGCCATTCTGGTCTAAAACTGGTTTCCCACCCAGTGTAATGTGTCATACACTTCTTGAACATGTGACGCTGCCTTATTCTGATTCAGACCAGAGCAGGTAGTGATGGTCACGAGCATAGATGACTTTAAACGAGGGTTAGACAGATTCATGGAGGAGAGGTCCCTCAATGGCAACTAGTTATGGTGTCTGAAGAGAGCCTCCTTATACAGATGTTGCGGATGTCGGAGTACCAGTGCTGGGAGGCAGCAGCCAGAGTGGGCCTCAGCCTCTGTGCCCTGTTTGCCCTCCAGGGCAGCTGATTGGCTGTTGTGTGAAACAGGGTGCAGCGTTAGATGGGCCACTGGTCTGATCCAGCAGGCTGTTCTTTTGTCAGTATTGTCTGCTCAGAGTAGCAGTGGCTCTCCGTGGCCTCAGGCAGAGGTTCTCCACGTCACCTACCACCACCTGATCCTTTCAACTGGAGATGCCGGGCATTGAACCTGGGGCCTTCTGCGTGCCAAGCAGATGCTCTCCCACTGAGCCACGATCCCTCCCCTTCTTTTGGAGGGTACAAGAAGGAGAGTACATATTCACAAGTCTGTATGTGTTGGAAAAAGAATGGTATTTTATTGCATTCCATCTGTTTCTCCTTGCCGCCCACATTCTGCTTTTTGAAAACCTGATCCTGGGAACGCAATCAAATATTATTTCGATCTGAGTGCTCAAGTAGTCAGTGTGCTTAATGCATTCTGAACACGGGTTTTATATTTCTTCAGTGCTGAACTTGGATTATGGTATAGTTGGCACCTATTTATCTAACAGAAGGAGGAGGTTTGTTAACATCAGCTTCCTTTCCCAAAATAGTAGGGGTTCGAAATAATTTACAGTGAAATATTTATAGCAGTTGTAAATATCATAAAAGCTCCTCCCACACTATCGTGGTGGTGATGATTACCTTAATAGATCATTACATAACACATGCATCATAAACATATAATAAAAATCAAGCAAGAATCTGTCTTAACATGCTGTTTTAAGGGAGCCTTACATTAGATGGTGAACATAAATTGGGAAGGAGGTGGTCCTGTAGAGGACTGGAAGAGTAACTGGTGACAAAGACAAAAGGAGACAATGCTAATAAAGCAGCCGAGACAATTATCTAATGTATTAACTCTGAGAAAAAGAAAATTTGGGGGGGGGGGGTTTGGACGAAAATGCTTTCGAACTGCTAGGTTGGCAGGAGCTGGAACTAGAGATGGGAGCTCACTCCATCATGCGGCACCCGGGTCTCGAACTGCTGAACTACTGACCTTCCACAGCCTGCAGTTCAGCGTCTTAACCACTTGAGCCACCGCAGCTCCTTCTGCAGATTTACAGAGCCATAAAACACTGGGGGGGGGGGGGAGACCATCAGCAGTTCAAAGGGTTTGGAATGAACAAGAGTGGGCAGGGAGTGGGATTGCAGTGGCAACTCTGCCCCCAACTGATAGGCATTCATTGGAATATATGCATAGAGTCTCCAAATATGCACATATGACTCTCTCCACCCAGCTGGGAACCTGATTCTTCCCCATTCACTTTCAGAATGTGCATATATTCACTTGTATATGCACTTATAAGTTTGTGGGTTCTATCTGTACAAGAAAACAGTCTTGACTTAAGTTTGAGGACCCCTGGACGTCACCTTTCACTTAATACATCTTTGAAGAGGTACTAATTTCCCCCCAGCGTTCTCTGCTAGCTTACCTTTTGAATAGGCACATGCTGGGTCTCTTAATCATGAGTAGATCCAATTGTAGGTAAGTGCCCTTGACATAGCACCCTGGGGTGTTTACCCTCAAATTGTCCCCATATGCCTCTTAGTGCATGTGGATTGTAAACTAGCAAAGAAAGAACATGGATGTGCCTGATGAACCATAAAGAAACATGAGAAGAGATGCTCATGAAGACTCAAGGACTCCTGAATATGTGTGTCTGGAAATGAGTTTCATTGAACTCATGGAGACTTACACCCAAAAATAACATGTTCCACATCAGCCTGGAACAGATGTCTGTAATATGTCTGCTAATATGTATAACTCTGTTAAGGAAACAGCCAAAGAATTCAGCAATATATTTCCAAAGGCATTTAAGGAAGGGGGAAATTAAGAGCTATGCTGTTTAATCAGTTGCATGCACCAAATGTCTTCATGTATAATTTCAATCTAGCAGGGGAGAAAAAGATGAAAACATCTTAATTAAAGGGGCTGGTGGAAATATTTTGTCATGATTTTGGCATGAATAAAGAAGTATTTGTGGTAATGATGACATGCATTGCAGAGTGATTAAAAAACCTTTAAAACCCCTGCATTGATTTTCAACTATTTATCTTTGCTATCTCTTTCATTATAGGGTCACAACATCTTTGCTAACTTGTCCTCCAAGGACTACAGTGACCTTATGCAGCTACTGAAGAAGTCGATATTGGCAACCGACCTCACTCTCTATTTTGAGTAGGTATTGGCATTTTCTGAATTTGACAAATTAAAATCTAAAAAACCTACAGCCCCTAATGACCTCTTAAATACCAGTGAGGGCGCATGGCACATAATACTAGAAGTTAGTATTTAAGCATCATTTGAATTATTTACTCCAGTGCTCACTGGATTTTTGGCTTGCAAGCATTTTACATATATTATTTGTAGCTATTTTAACGGTGGAACATGCCTGGTTTATAAAATCCAAACATCCTTATCAGTGGAAAACTAGCCTTTTAAGGATCTAGTTTTCCATTCTTAGTAATGTCTACTAGCTCACATGAATGCATGAAGCTGCCTTATACTGAATCAGACCTTTAGTCCATCAAAGTCAGTATTGTCTACCCGGACTGGCAGTGGCTCTCCAGGGTCTCAGGCAGAGGTCTTTCACTGATTCTTTTAACTGGAGATGCTTGGGATTGAACCTGGGATCTTCTGCATGCCAAGGAGACGCTCTCCCACTGAGCCATGGCCCCTCCCTGAGCTCAGGGTTGTTTTCTCTGACTGGCAGTAGGTCTCCAGTATTCTAGGCCAATGTGTTGGGACATCATTCTACTGAAGATCCTTCAGTTGGAAATACAAGGACCTGAATCTGGTGCCAAACGCAGCATATACTCTGTCACCGGGCCACAGCCCTTCCCCTTACTTTTCAATGGACCCATATTCAAGGCTTTTTTTTTTTTCCTGGGGGAATGCGCCAGAACAGAGTTCCGGAACCTCTTCAACAAAATTCTCTTTAAAACATTTAAAAGTTCATGAGTTTTCAGTATACAGACTGGAAACTTCATTTCCCTCTTGAGAGTTATTCTGGCACCTCGTTTTCAAAAAAAGAAGAAGCCCTGCCCATATTTATTTGCAAAGAAATTTGTCAACTATTTTTTTTTTCTGGGCGCACTCTCATACATGTGATAACCCCAAGAAATTCACTAAGCACATCTTTCCCTTTTTTTTTTTGCATGCATCTCCTTGTGGAGAAAAGATCGATCTGTTGAATTTCTGCCTGTCGTAGAGTTTTTAAAGGCAGAGAAGCCTGCAAGGAAAAAGCTGATATATAAACATGAATAAATGTGTCACTGGCAACCCAGATTGAGATAACTCATACCACAGGATTCAGCATAACTATCTATGGGTATGAAAATTGGACAATGGAGAAAGCTGACAGGAAGAAAGGAGGAGCCAAAACGGTGTATACCTTGACAGCTCAGAGTCAGGGCTGCCAGATCCAAAATAGAGGGATGCCGGATATTCTGCCTCTCATCCATTATCCACACTGTGGTTGACTGTTCACTTTGGCTGCTGCAGATGCTTGTTCTGTTGTAAAATAAAGTAAGCAATCGTAAGCAGGTCTACTGAGGAGTAAGTCTTAAATGAAGAAGAGAAGAGATTGGATTTATACCCTGCCCTTCACTCAGAGTCTCAGAGCGGCTTACAGACTCCTTTCCTCCTCCCCCCACCCTGTGAGCTAGGTGGGGCTGAGAGAGCTCTGACAGAAGCCCCTCTTTTACAAGAACACCTCTTACAGAACTATGGCTTGGCCAAGGTCATCCAGCAGCTGCGAGAGGAGGAGTTGGGAATCAAACCTTGTTCTCCCAGATTGGCATCCGCACACTTGACCACTACCCCAAAATGGGATTTACGCTGGAGTAGGGGCTGGTTGGCTCCCGCAGCGCTTTCAGCGCCCCCCCCCCCATTTACTAATAACTAGGGCAACAGGATACTTTTAAAAGTTTTCTCCTACTTTTTTTTAACCTGCAAAGACTTTGATCAAGTCCTCAGAACTAATCTGGCATAACAAATCTGCATCTATACTTAGCGGAGACAAGGCATCCCACCTGTTGTTGCATAGCTGCCCCTGCTCCCCCCCCCCTTTCTTGGTGCTAGTGATTCCACTGCCTATCATTTCTTACAAATAGCCATAACAGAAGGCATGACTGAGAAGAATATTTCATCTTCAAGGTGCCCCCCTTTTCCTTGGTGCCCTAAGCACTTCTTATTTTGTTTAGTTTGGTGTAGTGGTTAAGTGCGCAGACTCTAATCTGGGAGAACCGGGTTTGATTCCCCACTCCTCCACTTGCACCTGCTGGATGACCTTGGGCAACCCATAGTTCTGGCACAGCTGTTCTCGAAAAAGAGCAGTTTCTCTCAGAGCTCTCTCAGCCCCACCAACCTCACAGGGTGTCTGTTGTGGGGAGGGGAAGGGAAAGGAGTTTGTAAGCCTTTGGGTAGTGAAGGGCAGGGTATAAATCCAATCTCTTCTTCTTCATCATCATCATCATCATGGTTAATCCAGGGCTTCCAGTGGCAAACCACCTCTGAACATCTCTTGCCTTGAAAAACCCTATGAGGTTGCCATAAGTCAGCTGTGACTGGACGGCACTTCTCATCACCAGTGTTGCCAGCTCTCCTTCTGCGTTTTGTTTGCAGCTTTAAAGGTAAAGGTAAAGGTTCCCTTGCTCGAAAGCCAGTCGAGTCCGACTCTAGGGTTGCTGTTCTCATCTCCGTTTCAAAGCATAAGAGCCAGCGCTGTCCGAAGACGTTTCCGTGGTCATGTGGCCGGCATGACTAAACACCAAGGCGCACGGAACGCTGTTACCTTCCCACCGAAGTGGTACCTATTTATCTACTTGCAGTTTCTTGCTTTTGAACTGCTAGGTTGGCAGGAGCTGGAGCTAGAGACGGGAGCTCACTCCGTCTTGCGGCACCCGGGTCTCAAACTGCTGAACTACTGACCTTCCACAGCCTGCAGTTCAGCATCTTAACCACTTGAGCCACCACAAATTTTACCCCACCACACATTTTGTCAGTCTTTAAGGTGCTGCTGGACTCTTGCTCTTTTCTGCTGCTACAGACAGATTACCACGGCTACCCATCGTGATCTATTACCATTCCTGTTGGGGCAATACTAAACTCTTCCTAATGAGTCTTCTCTACTGGTTCTCTGATTTGGCAGAAAGAATAGATCTGCTAACCCAGAAGTATGTGCGGTTCAACAGCAGCTGCAAGTCCTTTTTATATATATATTTAAAACTCTTAGGGCTGTTCTTCTTTCCTTTCTGATGTCATAATGCAGTTTGTTAAAGACGGGTGTGAGAAGGTCACCTTTCGGTCACGGTGGAAGATTTTATTTCCTTGTCAATTAATAAATTGCCTGAAGAACACGAAATAATGGAGAAAAGGAGAATTTTCACATTTAGTTCTTTTTTTTCCCTCTCAGGAAGAAAACTAATGCGTCTTAAATGTCAGATTCTTTATTTAAATTAAATAAGGAGCCACTCATTTAAAAAAACAACACCTTGTGTGGTGCTGACGCAATGCAGACTCTCATGTGAACAGTTAAGGGTAAGATTGATTTAAAGCCGATGTGCCAGCCAGTCAAGGCCATTAAAATTGTCATCACTGCGGCTCTTATTCCCAGAGGGGTTGTTAGGCCATCATGCCATGAATCTGCAAGAGTGGAATGAAATTTTCTTTCCTGCCTGTGTGACTTTGCATTGTATTAGAAACTTTTTTTTTTTGGTAATATGCAAGCACTTTGATACACTTTATGGGGCCAAACTTGCAAGAAAAACATATCGTGACTGTGGCCTTATGAATAATCTTCATATTAAATACACCGGAAAGAAAACCGTCGTCACAGAGGAGAAGAAGAAAAAATCAACGACTGCTCTTTTGTGTCTTTGAAAGGTTGACCTTAGAAGGTTGGTTGCTCATTTCTGTTAGAGACCATATTGATGGCAGCCCTGTGAAGGAAGATAGGGTGTTTCTCTTGTGGTAGATGCATGGTACGAACTGACCCTGTTTGGCTGGAAGTTGTACATATTTCAGGGAGCGATGTGGAAATAAGAAAGATAATGGCAACAAATCTTAACTGTGCAGATTGTATGTCAGTAGGACCAGAACCCAAGACTGTCTTGGAAATAGCACAGTACTGTCTACAAGGATGGTCTTTCAACAACTTGCAAAGCTTAATATAGTCTGATATTTTCACACGTGTAAAGCCATAGCAGTAAATGTCATTCCATGGATGCTGTTCATTATAATGGAATTTGCCTTCTGCCTTCCCCAGATCATATGCTGTTGTTTTTTTCTGTGTGTGTGAGAGAGGGCTGATCTAACATGATAAAGCTCCCCCCCTTTAAGGTTGCTAAAACCCTGTTATGCACAATGGCTTCTCCAGGTGCCGTAACATTTAATACTTACCACGTGGATCCTATGCATTCCTTGGAGAGTCTCCACACCTCTAATGCAGTGACAGACTATTTCCAGATGGGTTGTTGTATAAGTCTGCCACATCCAAAATGACTGACAAAGAGTTGTATAAGTCTGCCACATCCAAAATGACAAAGAGGGGCCACACAAGACTGTTTGTCGTTATGGTAAATTATTTCATCTCAGTTAAATAACATTGGAGAACTTTCCACTAACCAAGATCCTAAACCGGAAGTGGTTAAAATCCCTGTTTATCTCAGTCTAGTGTAATTTGATCTGGTGAACTCACGAGACCACAGTTTAGTCTTAAACCACCATTCCTTCATTGTCGGTTGTGGAAGGGAGGGGAAGGTTAAGTTCTAACATGTTTTTATTTAACCAGTGAAATCGGATACCTTTATGCAGTATAATTTGAGTCTAGTAATAAAGACCAACAGTTTGCTGATCTTAAGGTGCTATTGGACTCGAATTTTGTTCTGTTACTACAGACTAACATGGTTACCCAACTGAAACTGTCTTAATGCAATATGTGTATCTTCCTTGCAATTAGAAATCACTTTCTTTGGCTCTGTACAGGATTAAACCCACTCAGCCCAGTCCAGGGGTCAGAGGGAATCCTATATTTCAGCACATGCAACAAAATCCACGAGACAGTCTGAGACTTAACACATCAGCAACTCTAACTCAGAGGTGCACACAATTACTCTCACAGTGGTAGCTCTGTGGTCAGCACTTAGACACAAGATTTAGCCCTGGAGTTCAATTACCGCATCAGAGACAATTACAAATATGAATGATGTTTATTCAGTGCAAAGCATAACAAGAGACTAATAGAGGATACAAAAATAATAACAACCTATGGCTATTTGCCCTTACTGCACATTAATAATAATCATAGTTACCGAATTAAGTGTAGCATCAGATAGCCCAAGAGTGTCCATTGCATAACAGTACAGGTTGGCACCAAGGAATTTTGAAGAGAAATCCCATCTTGTGCAGGTAGATAGTCCAGGACTGCTCAGAGATACAGATCCACAGTAACAGAAGATTGGCAACCGGCAATCAGTTCACAAAGAAACTCTTTGTTTCAAAAGTCAGGATCCCAGGAGCAAGAGAGCTCTTCCCTAAAGAACCACGGAGTTATACCCCCATGCCAGTCACCATCACTTGTGGCCATTAGCCAATCACAAGCGGCAGGGGTGTGTGCCCAATTTCTGGTTGCCATAGCTGCCAACATCAGGTGTGTGGGGATTGGCTAAGAAGTTAGAGGCCCTGCCTGCAGTCAGGTGATCCAACTTCCAGCTTTCTCCATTGCTGGGGGTCGCGGCCGGTGCCCAGCCTGCCCCGGGAGCCCCGGCAACCGACCCAAGAACGCGACAGGACGACTCCCCGACAGCAAGACGGGACGACGCGGCAGAGCGGCGCGACCCTCCCTCCAACACGGGCGGCGACCATGCGGGGAGGACCTCCGGTCGGGCCCGAGCAAGGAGCCGCGGCGCAGGAGGCTTCAGGGGGGAGGCTGGGTGGAGCATTGGGGGGGAGCAACGGCAGAGGCACCCCGTAGAGCCGGGGCAGCTGGGCGGCGCCGGTGGCGCGGCCCCAGGGCCGCAAGAACCGCTGCTGGCGTTCGCACGCACCACCCAGAGACGCCCGACGGCGTCTCCACTGATATAGGGGGCACGGCGGAATAAAAGGGGGACACAGAGAGGGCCGGGGAGGAGAGCACGCTGTGACTCAGAAGGAATAGAGAGACCGCTGAACGGAGGCTCAGAGAGAGACTGAGAAGAAGGGCGCAGCCGCGGCGTGCAGGCAGAGGGGGGCTGAGGGGTGCTCCTAACCCCACCCCCTGCCAATCTGAGGCCACCTCTCCCCCGCTTTCTGCCGGCTCCATCTCTCTTTCCGTCTAGGCCACACCCCCTCGTGCTTCGTGGCTGACACTGCCTCAGTACGGCCAGCGGGGGCGCTATCCCAAAGGACAAGGGGGATCGTGACAGACACACAGAATGTCATCAAAGGAAGAAGGCATAAGACTTTAGAAACAATATTTCTATACAGGCTCCTTTTTGTAATGCAGGACCTTTTTGATTCGATTTTATAAACCAACTATATTTTAGCTGCTGTAGATTTTCCGGGTTGTGTGGCTGTGGTCTTGGCATTGTAGAACCTGACATTTCACCAGTAGCTGTGACTGGCATCCTCAGAGGTATAACACAGAAAGATGGAGTACTCTCTGTGCCTCACCTTGAAACATCAGGTTCTACAATCCCAAGACCACGGCCACACAACCCAAAAAATCTACAGCGACTAATGAACTCTGGCTGTGAAAGCCTTCGACAACATATTCAACTATATTTTGTTTTTCTTATGCTACATCCCTGGAAAGTTGGATTGTTTTCGTTTCTGTAAACATGTTTTATCAAAAGGTATTTTGTCTCAAAGAGCATGATGTGTCTTTCATGTCAAAGGACCTTAAAAACTTTGATGAGTATTATTTCTAATTTATGGTTGGGGAAACAAAGGCATGTAGGTTTAGAGATCTAACAAAACAAGTCTTAGGCTAAGTGTAGTCATAGATACATACTTATACAAGATCCTTCCTCTAAGGCGCTCAGAACAGCATACATAAAGTTTTACTTAATGAACTCTGTTGTGAAATAGGTTTAATAGGGGGCTGGTGACTGGCCCAAGGTCATTCATTGAGTAAGGATTTGAACTCAAGTCCCTCGTTCAATTCCAGCACTTTTGCAACTACTCCAAACTGCCTTTTACTACCAAGGGTTTGGTACATTGTGGCCTTTTTCATGTTTATATAATTGTTGTTTTATTCAGGTTGATTTAATTGTGCTTTTTATAATTGTTTTGTTTATATTGTAAGCCATCTTGAAGGCGAAAGGCGGCTAACAAATGTTTTAAGTAAAATAAATAAATAAATACATGGCTGATGAAAACAAGACATGCTTTGTTTCATTGGTCTCCGCCGGGTGACTTGTACTTTTAGCTTGGCGGTGCAAAGCAGTAAATCTGTATACATTTAAATTAACTGGTACATGATCTAAGGCTAGGGTTGCCATTTGCCTGTTGGGGATGGAAGATTCCCAGATTTTGCAGGCTCCTGGTTTGAGGCCAGTTTTATCATAGAGTTTTGCCTAAAATCCAGAGATTCACCCCCAGCATCCCTGACGTGCTGACATCAATTCTGGGTGAGACAGATATGTCATGTGCGGTGTCACTGTTTTGTGAGGAATGAGGGGTGACATCACTTCCTACTCCCAGAATGTCCCACCCGTCCCCCCATGGATGGGCAAAAGGGACCTGGCAACCCTATCTAAGGCATTGGCATTGGCAACCCTACACATTTGTACAGTGCAATTGTATACTGAATGCATTTCATCTTTCCATAAAATTGTTTAAGGTTCCGTAATTTCTTTCTGTGTTGCCAAGGTACAATAGGAGACTATGAAATTGATGAGCTGTTGTAAAAACATCTCACAATTAAAATTTTTAATTTGAATAGGCTGGAGCAGAGGCAGGCTGTTCCCTAGGGGTATCAGCTTTGGTAAGAATCCTACTTGTTATATGCTGGTGCTGCATTTTATAAAGAGTCCAGGAAGTTTGGGGAAGGATGATAATCGCACACAAAAGGGTGACAAAAGTCTTGTCTTAGAAAAGCTTTAGTCTTAGGAAACGATCCATTTCCTTACACTGGCATGTTTTGTTGCAGGAAGAGGAGTGAGTTTTTTGAACTCGTCGGCAAAGGTGACTACAACTGGAGTGTTAATGGCCAGCGAGAAATATTCCGGTGAGTGAGACCTTTCTTTTGTGTGAACTGCCTTTATTTTAACATGTCTGTAGTAATATAAAAGTTTGCAGCCGTTGACTGAAAGGATGAAACTCCTTCCAGTCATCTCAAAGGGCAGAGATAGCCTGTGCCAATATCAAGAATGATCTGAGATTTCCAGTGTCAGAAAACATGTGCCTTCAACACTGCACTTAACTCTTCGATGTCTCCTTGTGAATGATTCCTGATCTGGTTCCAGTGCTTACAAGCAGTGTTCCCTCTAAGCTGAGTTAGTGTGAGCTAGCTCACAGGTTTTTTAGCCTCTGGCTCACACATTTTTGTCTTAGCTCAGGAAGGATGGCTCCAGAGCAAACTAATTTATGCAGTAGCCAAATCGCCGGCTCACAACTTTAATGCCAGTAGCTCACAAAGTAGACTTTTTGCTCACAAGACTCCACAGCTTAGAGGGACCATTGCTTATAAGTGGTTTTTATGGAGATTGTTACCATGCTGACAGTTTGTAGCTCGCACTCAGCATTTTTGGAAGTTCTTGGAAAAGGTATGGAGACTTTAATATTGTGACCAAGATCTCTCTAGTAAGTAACATAGCCAGGTCTTCTGTGCTCTGGTAGGAAACCTCCTGCCTATAACCTCCATTCCCCCTCCCACTTAGTAGGGCAGTGGAGAGAAATCAGTGTCATTCCTATACTATGATGTCACTTCCAGCGTGAACCAGAAGTTAAGAGCATCACTTCAGGACAATGCTCTAGGATTCCACCAAAACTCTATGGTAAAACCATAATGTTTCAGTAAATCCTAGAACATTGCTCTGGTCTCATAATGTTTCAGTAAATCCTAGAACATTGACCTGCTCTCCAAAAGTTCCTGCCCTTAGTAGTAAGGAAGCACTTCTGAATGCTCCCAGGCAAGGAAAGTGTTAGCAAATAACACATATGCATCAATCAGATCATGAGGCACATCATGAGAGGGAGGGCAGGAAGGGGTTCCATCAGTGCTTAGTTCTCGTGGCCCTTTCTTCCATGCCCAGGGAAATGCTGGTCGTGACTTTGGGGTCAGAAAGCAATTTTCTCTAGGCCAATTTGGCCAGGGATCTTGGAGGGTTTTTTGCCATCTTTTGGGCATGGAGCAGGGATCGGGGGGGGGGGGGGGTTTGATTTCCTGCATTGTGCAGGGGGTCGGACTAGATGACCCTGGAGATTCCACAGCTATGATCCTATGATTCTAATCCAAAGTCTGATAAGTTCACCAACCAGATCCGCCTTGAGATGAGCAGGCAGAACTTTTAACAATAGACACGGAGTACGGCAACATAAGCGAATGGCTTGGGAACCCTGAAAAATAATGACAAGCCCAAGGTTATTCAGTGAGTAAGGATGGGAAGACAGATGTCCCTGCCGTCATTACAGGACTCTTAACTGCCACACACCAAATGCCTAGAAATCAAGCCAGGCGCACCCAAGATGCTTTGCCTTAGGAGGTGCTGGCTGAGATACCATTTTTTGCTTGTTAGGGGTGTAATTGTTGGGGAGTTGGATAAAAGGGCTGTATGTCAAGGGGGCATAAAAGGGGGATAGTAGTGCTATTTTATTGATTTGTTTAATAAAAATATTTACTTATCAACCTTTCTCTGGAAAATTTCAGGAACCAAGGCAGGTAACAACGATACAAAAACAGTCTGATAAACACTAAAAGTAGTTAGTTAGTTTATTAATACGGTCAATGACCAGCACAAACACTAAAAGTATATTAAAAGCCATTCTTATGCCCCCACCAGTAGGGTACTCAAGCTAGTAGCTGGCTGTGGGTTGGTAGGCCCAGCTTCAGCCTCTGTGGCCACCACCCTCCACCTGCCTATTTACCAGGGCTGGCTCATCCATGAGGTGACTTTTGCTTTCAGACACACTTCTGAAAAATGCACTTTCAATCCACTCCCAATGCACTTTAGTGTTTGCAAGTGGATTCTACAGTAAAATCAGTTGGAAAGTGCGTTGAAAGTGCATTGTGCAGCACATGCGAAAGTGCCTAAGTCTCCTCAGGGGGCACACTTTAGGAGGGACAGTCTCCTTACCCTTTCCAGCTGTCTCCCGGCCTCTCCACCCACCCACCCCACCCATGAACCAGGGAAGCTAACAATCCTCATCTCGTGTCCTTTAAGCCTCTCTAAAATCACTACGGCAAATGGCACATGTGCTAGAGGGCTTCCCAGACTCTCGCAAGTGGAATGAATCTGTATAGCACAGGCACGGCTTGCAATGTGGCTCGAGAGAGGCTTGTATCAGCTTCTCAGGCTCTCCAGCTGTGGTCCCAGTGAATGGGTAGTGGCAGTGGGGGAGGGGAGAGGACAGCAGGTTTAAGCTCAGTAGGCCCAATGACTTAAGCAGCCTCTGCCGTTTCCCTTCCCTCCCTCACTTTCTGCCACCAGCAATAAAACAAGCATTGACACCCCCAAATCACACATGGAGAGGGAAGAGGCAGGCAAGAGCCAGGAGGGAGGAGGCTGGGGGCACAGCAGCAAAGTATGCCTGGCCCTCAGAGAGAGGGGAAAGATTGCACACTGTAGGGTGGGTGGCAACCCCAGAGTAATGTGTGCCCTGAAAGCCCACCTAGGCAGCCTCTGATTCGATTGCTTTTTTTCTGTGTATCTCAGTGGGATGAGTCCCTTTCCCCCCATCAGTCCACCTCATGGCTTTCTTGTGGAGGAGGGGGGCTTTGGCGGAGGCCCTTTTCCGCCAATCAAAATATTTGTTGCGGAAGCTACCGTTTGCCACAGAATAGCACTAGCATCTTTTATCAGGAAGCACTTTGCTGTGGCACTCATTTACTGAGTATTTATTTATTATTTATATATTTGATTTGATTTTTATCCCGCCCTCCCCACAAACGGGCTCAGGGCAGGTTACCACCCTCCCCACGAACGGGCTCAGGGCAGGTTAAAGTCACACAGTCTCAGCAACAGGAGTTAAATAATTAAAACAATAATTTTAAAACAATAATATAAACATCAATTAAACTTCATGTTGCTATACTCAGTTTAGGCTAGTCGTGGAGCAAGCACTTTCATTTGGGGAGGCCGAAGATGGATGTATAGGTTGAAGGAAATGTTCATCTTCGGTCTTCCGTGCAGTCCCACATTGGGACTGCGCATGAGCAAGCCTGCTGCAGAAAGATTTTCCCCCTCACTTAAAATTCTACTAGGGGATGCTGAACCCTCCCTCAGTGCCGTTGAGACTGTTTCCTGCCCAAACGGGTCATTTCCTGCAGGAGCGCACAGGAGTGGAGCTCCGGCAGTAAGGAGCCCAGGGGGCAGGCACATGCAACAAGCCCCGCCCCCTGCTCCCAGCAGCCCTCAGTTGGGCCACGAGGAGCAAGAAGCAGCCAGGTAAGTTGCAGAGGCCCCCCACCCCAACACACCTTCAGGTACAAGCTCTCCCTCCTCTGTGAGGGCAGATCTGCACGTCCCCCCCCCCCCAACAGCCAAGTCCAGTGGAGCCTGAGTGGTGGATGTTGCCTTCTGGCACACGTCTGGTGATGTCAGGGGTGTGTGGCATATGCAAATAAATTATGCTAATAAGTTATGCTAATGAGCTCCTGCGCCTCTTTTTCTACAAAATGACCCCTGCCAAAACGGTCACGTGATCTGAGTGAGGAGCGCCCCTTCCCTCAGTTCCTTCTTCGCCACCGACAAAGTAGGTTCATCCTAGCATCCCTCATAGTTATTCAGCATTTTTTCCTTCAGAATTTCTTCTACAGTCCACTCAGTGATGACAGTGAATTTCAGAGCTTCCTATCAGGCGTTCACCCAGCTTCACCCTATACCCATCTAGAAGCCACAGAAAAGACTAAAAGCTGCCCTGACCTGGATAGCCCAGGCAAACCTGATCTCATCAGATCTCAGAAGCTAAGCAGGGTCGACTGTGGTTAGTACTTGGATGGGAGACTTCCTTGGAATACCAAGTCAGGAGGACAGAGGCAGGCTATTTGGCCACCTCTCTGAATATCCTTCAGGCCCCCAGTATGATCAGTCACCAGAGGTCAAGGTGACTTCCAGGTGTAGACACACGCACACACACAAATACACAAAAAAAAGACTAAAAGTTTTGCAGCATCCAGAAGCACCGTCAACCTGGTTGTGCATGTGCAGCAGTGAAGGGATCTATTCATGTGAAGGCAAAGATTCTCCATCTTCGCGTTTTAACTGTGGCATGGGTCATTGCCTAGTTTTCCATGCCGTTTCACTCATTCGTGATTTTAGAGTTAGGGCAGTATATTTCGCCACTTCTTTATTTCCAGTGTCCTTGCTCTTCATTTGGGCTTTCTCATAGTTTTATCTGCATCATGTACTGTACATAAATGCTTTCTACAGCTGAACAGTTCCTTTCTCCCAACACAGATAAAACATAATTGTAGCCTGACATTAAACTACAGTGAAACACTATAGTCCTTATAGTAAATCTTGAATTTTTATTGCAGATGAACCGTGGAAACTGCTTAAACAGTGTCTGGAATGCCTCTCATGGTTATAGCTTTTCTCTTACCCACAGTAGTCGCTTATAAGTAGGCAAATAGATTAGCCCAATCTGTATTTATTGTGTAATAATTCCTTTTCTTACATCATGGCAAAAAAAAAAATCCTAGCTGCCCTGTATATTATAAATATTACTTTACTAGTCAAAGTGCAGCAAAATTAGTAGTCTGCAGTGATACATGTTTCTTTTGTCGCAGTCAACGGATAGCATTGAAAATTCATTATCTGATGATCTATAATGCATTAGCCTTCCTATATCTAACGACATAAAAACTATGCTGACGGTTGAAATTCCAAACAGCACCATCCCCGCCAGACGGGAAGAAAGCGTTAATTCTGACCTTTTCTGTTTTGTTTTGTTAAATTATGTATCCAGGGTGAATTTGTTTGGTGAAACAACAAAGGTTTATTCCTCGTGTATTGTTCATCTCTGTTTTTTCTTTCTTTCTTTCCAGATCAATGCTAATGACAGCCTGTGACCTTGGAGCTGCAACCAAACCGTGGGAGATTTCAAGACAGGCAAGTCATGATTAATAGCAGGGCAAGGAAAAGGAGGTACTGATGCAACGCTTTTCCCAGGAACCTGCCATGCTAAGGGACCGGATCTGCAATCAATTTACAACAGTGTTGCTGCATTTAAAAAGACCACGGGTTTTCTGCTAGGCATGGTTTATTGCCCAATCTTTTTGTTTGTTTGTTTGTTTACTTAGTTGCATTGACTAATATTGAAGCATCAGAAGAATATCTGATTTTATAAGCACAACCCTATGATTATCTCGTCTACCTGTTATCAAACCGTGGTGTTTAAAGGAAATTGAGAGACCTTGGGTTTTTATTTTTTTAATTTATGGTCAGCTCCCTCTTACCAAGCAAAACCTACCCTGGACCCTTAGAAGTGATCTCTCAAATGCTTGGTTTGAAATTGTTTCTTTCTGGAATCCCTTTGCCAGCCATAATAATAATCATAAGCACTGGCCTAAGGGCTATTCCTGCCCAGAAGGGTCCTGTTAAACCTCTGGGGGAACATCCCATTACACATCTGCAGGGCCTTCCTCTCTCCCCTTTATAAAGTCCAAACTAGTTTTCCACTCAAAGGAAGCTGTTATTTAATGAATACTTCCTGAAATCCTCATTGATTGCTAAATATAATAATACAGATAATTATAATATCAAATAATAAATACAGGATATCTTTGTGCTAGAATATCTGTGGCTGCGCATGGTTGCCACATTCTTCTTTCAAGAGTTCCCTCTTTTTTCTCCCTCCTTCTTCATGGTGTTAAAAATCTTCTCCATCAGTGATCAGGAGTTATTTATTAAATCCCTCCCCCCTTCCTTCCTTCCTTCCTTCCTTCCTTCCTTCCTTCCTTCCTTCCTTCCTTCCTTCCTTCCTTCCTATGCTGCCCTTCCACCCAATCAAGATCCCCAAGGCAGTGTACACAAAAACATTTGAACAGTTAAAAGCAACATTTAAAATGATAAACTAATTCCAGGCTGTGATCACACACACACTAAATAATCCATTTTCAATCCACTTTCAATGTACTTTTCAATTGGATTTTGCCAGTTCACACAGAAAAATCCAGTTGGAAAGTGGATTGAAAATGGATTATTTAGTGTGTGTGATCACAGCCCAAGGGCAACACGTAAGCATACAGAACCAGGTAGGGAGGAGGCCAATAACCATAACAGCCAATAAACAAAACAGAAGAAGCCACCAATAGAGGGAGACAGAGGAATCTCCCAGGGGTGAGAGTTCCAAAATTTTGTTGGAACAACTGAGAAAGTCACTCTTTAGGCCCTTCCTTCACTGCCTTTCTGTGAAGAAACGTGCTGAAGGCAGCTCGGAAAAAATAAAACTGGGAAAACGCAACATAGTCATTAAGAGATCTGAAGCCCTGCATTTCTGAAGCCAGAAAAAATTGCACACAGCACAGCCCAATATGGCTGCCATGTGAAAACAGCTTTGGAGTGGCCCCAGATCCCATGCAGTGAGCTTTTCATACATAGCAATCTACCCGTTGTGGTTTTCCTCAGTGCTCCTACCATTAGGAAGGCTTTACAGCAACATGAAAACAAATGGCATCGGAAGGGCCTATCTGTGTGGTGACCGTCTGTGCACGAAAGGGCTGATTGCAACATGGGCAGCGGTATCCTAAGAAGCAGCACTTACACCTGGGGCCTCCAAACCATGAAGAACGCTTTGGAAGCAGGCTGCTTCTTTCTAGAGGCCTCTGACACTTCACACATTGCTTTAGTAAAGCTAGATAGGTTTGCCCACATGGAACCAGAGTAACAGTTCCTTTCCACATCTTTCCCACATCAGGTCCTTGCCTTCACCTTGGCTTCTTAACTGCATGGTTTCCCCTCCTCCCTTACACAGGGTCTTTGGCAGGTAGGTAGTTGCTCTCGCCTTTTTTCAACCTTCTTCAAGTTTTTCCTGTGTTTTTTCAAACCACAGCAAAAGTGGCCTGAAAAAAGCATGGGGAAAACTTGAAAAACCAGGACAGCAACAACATGCAAGAAAGACCAATGCAGCTAAGAAGCCAAGGTGAAAAAAAACCAGGTGTGGAGAAGCCCACCATGAGCCATTAAGGGCACAGGCTAGCCGGATCTCATCACATTTCAGAAGCTAAGCAAGGTTGGCCCTGGTCAGTATTTGGATGGGAGACCACCAAGGAATACCGGGGTTTCCATGGAGAGGCAGGCGATGGCAAACCACTTCTGAATGTCTCTTGCCATGAAAACCTTGTGGGGTCGCTATAAGTCAGCTGCAACTTGTCCGCAAGAGAGAGACAAACTTGAACTGTCTTGAGCCCAGAGGGAAGGCAGGATGTAATTATTTTTAATTAATAAATAAATGGGGCTTCTATTCCCATTTCAGTTCCCATGAATGGATTCCCATGAAAAGTATGGTGTGTATACAGCGTGGAAGGACTCAGGAAATGAATTTTGGCATGTGTTAAGAGATTTACAAACTGCAGTCAATAGTATAGTCTTTACTTTATGTCACCGTTTGTGGAAGGCACGTTAAGGAGTTACGGCAAGAGCAGGAGGAAATACGTTGGGCTGCGTGTCAGATTGCCGTGGTTCAGGCCAAAGGGCAACAGAAGTAGGCCCAAGGACCCATGGTGTGGAAGACCCATGACTGGATCTCCTGACGTGTGATGCCCACATAAAGTGGACACAAGAGGAACCTGTACAGACCAGCGCTGTAGAAGAGCAGGGCAGTATTCCTCCGTGCCATTTTTCCTCAGTCAGAAATGCCACTCCGAGTGCTTCACAGTAGCCTGTTTTTTTTCCGTGCGCGTGCTTTTCAGTCAGGGAAACAACGTGAGGAAGGTGTACTTGTGATCCCCCTGCAGCTAATTTTTACAGCTCAATCACGTGTTGAGAGACCTGGCCACAGATCTCAATTCAAGCATAGTTTGGCCATATGCTAAAGAAGTTAAACAGATCCCAGATGCTTATAGAGGCTTATGTGCTGGTAACGCTTGGAGTGAACTGTGAACAGAAAAGGGGAATAAACTTAAGCCTGAAACCTAGGATCAAAAACCTAAAAAGGTAAGCCAAACAGAGTAGAGGGCCAACAATTAAATTTAATTCTTTTCAAATAAATACACGTATGTTTATATATTATGTGTATATATTAATTGTTGGCCCTCTACTCAGTTTTAGGTTCTTAACGCTTGGAGTGAGCCAAAGAATATAATTAGAAAAGGCTCCTTTCTGGGTACAGAGTGGCTTTGATCTAGACTAGTTTACCTCTAGATGCCCTGCCTAGAATAGAGCTTTCCTGGCATTCCTTAAGACAGTGATGGCGAACCTTTTAGAGACCAAGTGCCCAAACTGCGACCCAAAACCCACTTATTTATCACAAAGTGCCAACACGACAATTTAACCTTAATACTGAGGTTTTACTTTAGAAAAAACAACCCATACATTAACTTAAGATGATCCAAACAAATTAAGGAAAGCAATCCCAAATGCTTTCATTTACTTAAAATTATTTGGCAGAGAATTCGACACTTTTATGATGGTCTGGCCTTGGCTGGGGCGATGGCACGCGTGCCCACAGAGAGGGCTCTGAGTGCCACCTCTGGCACCCGTGCCATAGGTTCGCCACCACTGCCTTAAGAGCTTCTGAAACAAAGTTCAAAATGATTTCAGAGTGTGCTCTAGAGGTTGATCAAACATGTCGATTTAGGGCTGTGGCTCTGATCCCACAAGGATTCCAAGCAACAGGCGATCTGCAATCAGATGGGTGGCTTTAAGCTCCGTGTGTAATCTGTCAGAAAATGCATCACTCTTAATAAACAGTAGGAAACTTAGCTGATGATTTAATACGTGTTTTAGGTTGCTGAACTGGTAACGAGCGAGTTCTTCGAACAAGGAGACAGAGAGAGGTCCGAGCTCAAGCTCACGCCTTCTGTAAGTTGATCACCAGTTTGGAAGAGTACCTGTTATTTTAGAACAACAGGATCCTTACTTAGAATAAGAAAACAGCCTAAGAAACATTCCGGCTCGCTGGGTTTTATTGCTGTATTTTGAGAAAGACCTATAAATCTTTAATATTTAAAGAGAAAGGGGTACGGTTATTTTGTGACTGCTTTAATTCAAGGGACGTCTGGTTTGCATAAAAATCCACTTGAATAAGCGAAAAGATAAAGAACAGATGAAATAAAAAATTTCCCGTGCAGTACAAATCCGTGTCAGAAATGTATTGAGGCATATGTTTTATGTGGTGTGAAGTTTATCTCGATTCCTTTGACAGCATGGGGACGAGCTTGTGTGGCTTTCCCTGTTGCTGCTGCAGCTGCTGTTATAGCACAACAACAATGAGGCTTCCATAGGGTAGGTTTCCCTGCCCCAGTGCCCCATCAGCAGCCGTATCTCCCTCCCTACCAGGACCTTTGCAGGGCTTTTTTAAAAATGACTATTGAATAATAATAAGAAGAAGAGATTGGATTTATACTCCACCATTCACTACACAAAGGTGTCTCAGAGCGGCTTACAAACCCCTTTCCCTTCCCCTCCCCACAACAGACACCCTGTGAGGTAGGTGGGGCTGAGAGAGCTCTGACAGAAACTGCTCTTTCAAGAACAGCTTGTCCAAGGTCATCCAGCAGGTGCAAGTGGAGGAGTGGGGAATCAAACCTGGTTCTCCCAGATTAGAGTCCGCACACTTAACCACTGCACCAAATTTGAAAGTAAAGAGCCCAGGGGATGGGCACATGCAACAAGCCCTGTCCTCTGCTCCCAGCAGCCCCAGGCCACGAGGAGCACAAGGATCTGCACGTCCCCCCCCCCACCAGCTAGCACTCCAAAACAGTCGAGTGGAGCCTGAGGAGTGGGTGTTGCCTTCTGACACACTTCCGGTGATGTCAGGGTGTGTGCCTTATGCAAATAAATTATGCTAATGAGTTATGCTAATGAGCTCCTGCACCTCTTTTTCTACGAAATGACCCCTGGTGTTATATCATCATGATGTTTTTTAAAAAGTAAGTTATCTCCTTTTGTTGAAGAGATATATGGGGAAAGGGATGTCTCAGCAATGACAAATGCTAGAGACGTTTTTAAAAAATGAACCTGGGAATTCAAAAGAAGTAGTAAATAGGTTGTTATAACATCATAAGGAGAGCCAGTCTGGTGTGGTGGTTAGGAGCATGGACTCTAAACAGGGAGAACTGCGTTTGATTCCCCACTCCTCCGCATGCAGCTGCTGGTGGGACCTTGGGTCTGTTACAAGTTCTCTCAGAGCTGTTCTCCCATGAGCAGTTCTCGAAAGAGCTCTCTCAGCCCCACCTACCTCACAGGGTGTCTCTCGTGGAGCGGGGAGGGGAAGGGGAAGGGAAAGGAGATTGTAAACCACTCTGAGACTCCTTCAAGTAGTGAAGGGCATGGTATAAATCCAATCTCTTTTCTTCTTCGTCTAACACTATAGCAATCTAAGCCATTGCCAACGTTTATTTAAAAAGCTCCAAAAGCTGTGCAGGGGCCCAAGGGGAAATGGTGGTTGTGGGAGGCTGAAAAGGCGGGACCTGCACAAATGTGCACCTTTCTATCCACATGCACTTTGCCTGCTGGATTAGGAGACCTAAAAGTTAGCGGTATCTTTGAAACTTGTACACCAGCCCTGTGAAGTTCAAGTGCTACTGTGCTGTTCCATGACCACCCAGTGCTCCAAGCAGCAATGTCATGTTGATTGTCTGCTGGAGCTCCTTCAGGGCAGAGGGAAGAGGTAGGCAGGGTGGGGTGAGTACACTTGAGGGAAGAGGTAGGCAGGGTGGGGTGAGGAGTACACCTCTTTATAATCTGCCTTCCGTCCCCGCACTTGAATGCTAACCATACGGTATGTTTGTTTGACGTTAAGGAATTACAAGGTATAACAGTCCAATAAATTACACTTACAAATCCCATAAACAGGGCCTTAGAATAAATGGTTTATTTTTCATCCTAGACAAAAGATGGGGAAGTGTGTGTAAAGATTGATTATGGTTTTCGAAGCGTTCAGTTTGTAACAATTTGATACTGGGTCCATAGTGTTGGATGAAGCAGCATCTATAAAATACTCTAGAGTAATAAAACATGACATATTTCTCCTCTCCCCCCTCCTTGCTCAATTCAGGCTATTTTTGATCGGAACAGGAAAGATGAACTGCCTCGATTGCAGCTGGAGTGGATTGATAGCATCTGCATGCCTCTCTATCAGGTAATTTTTACTTACTGCTGCTGCAGAGTTCGTGGGACTCGGGCTGGCCCTGCCTCTCTGCAGAAAGGAGATTATGCAACAGCTTTGCAGGAGCTTTCAATCTTGAGAGCTGTGCGGCGTCTCGCGGACTCACTCACTTCACTCTTCCCTCATAGGGCATAAACAACACAGGGCAGAGAACGATGCCAGGGCACTCATAACCAAGGGAAACGAACGAGCGCCTATTGGCCAAGCCCAGTATCCTCTTCATTTATCAATGCATACTTCGTTTTGTCTGCCATGAGGGAAGAGAAATAAAATAACAAATACTTCCTCCCCTTCCCCATTCACTCTGCAGTTTTCATGCTTCCAGGGTCTTTTGAACAGACACATTGACTGCGGTCCAAAGGATCCCAGGTCCACAGCTGGTTTTTGGTTGTTTGTTTAAAAAGTAACTCCACCCATCCCATTCTGAAAGCCGCTTCTGAAACTTGGTAAGTAAGCAAGTGGCTGTCTGAGATACCTCTCCAATACTTCACAGGAGAACACTTATTCAAATCAGGATAGCAAAGCCTGTTCATATAGATAACAGGACTCGTGTATCAGGGGTTGTACTCCCTAGTACAGGGGGTCCCCAACATGGTGCCCACGGGCGCCATAGTGCCTGCTGACACCTTTTCTGATACCCACCAAGTGTTTTTAGAAAGTGGGTGGGGCTTTTGCCCAGCAAGTTTTCTGATTGGCTGTTATAGATTTGATGGGCTGTGCAGTATTTTAAAAACATTGCTTTGGCAGCAGCTGCCAACACAGCACATGGATCTTCATTGCGCGACTGAAGGTAAGTTCCAGCAGCCATTCGGCGGCTGGTTGGGCCTCGTGTGGCAGCTGTTTTGTGTGTGTGGCCACCATGCCATATTAGAATTCCGAAAGTGCCCACAGGCTCAAAAGTGTTGGGGACCCCTGCCCCAGTAGTTCTACCAAGGAGAAAGTGTTATGGTCACCCCTTGATAGCTGCCTATCTAAGACAAAATGCAGTGGTTCTGCAAACAAGCAAGACCGTCCCAGGTGATTGCTACAGCTTAGCTCTTGCAGGGAAACAGATGCCGCTTGAGACAAGCACTGCTAAAACTTGATTGCCCTGAGCCAGGGTTCTCGGTACTCTGCCATCCACAAGAACTGCTCGCTCCAGTTCAACAGGTGTGGGAAGCTGTCCCTTTCCACGGAAATGAAGAGCATAGTGTGGGAGGAAAGGGCTCCATGCACCAGGATAGAAATGAGATCGTTTTAAGTTGCATCTAAGACATTAATCCGATTACCATTAGTTCCCTAGGCCTGTGCACTTGTTACTTGATCAGAAGAACAAATAATGAGACTAGGCAGGCAGGTGGTGTGTCTATAGGTAGCTGAATGAGTCCAAAGCAAAATCCAAAGACATTAGTGCATAATGCATACCCAGAGATGGGGCAGACGGGACTCACCGCTCCTGACATCTCCACACACTCACTGTTTATGCTAGCACTCCACCATGCTCCCAGCTACACGCAGTGCCCAGAGCCACTGGGGAAAGTGCTGCAGGCAGTGGTGAGCATAGGCGGTGGGGGCGCTCACAAGCAGGCAGGGGAAGGGGGACGCACATGCAAGTGAGAGGCACGTAGGTGGGGGGAAGGGAAGGAGGGTGTGCGGGAGAACTGGTGGTGGGTAGAAGAGGGGAGGGGGCCCCTCAAAACGTGGAACCAGCCCTGCCTTTTAGTAGGTAAGGTAAAGGTTTCCCTTGCTCAAAAGCCAGTTGAATCCGACTCTAGGGGGCGGTGCTCATCTCCATTCCCAAGCCGAAGAGCCAGCACTGTCCAAAGAGTTCTCCGTGGTCATGTGGCCGGCATGATTAAATGCTGAGGCGCACGGAACACTGTCACCTTCCCACCGAAGCGATACCTATTTATCTACTTGCAATTTCTTGCTTTCAAACTGCTAGGTTGGCAGGAGCTGGGGCCAGAGATGGGAGCTTACTCCGTCACGCGGCACTAGGGTCTCGAACACAGGCCTTCGAGTTCTCAAAAAAAGCTTCTTTAGACCAGTTGTTTAAAAAGAAAGGCAGGGAACGAGAACAGTATGTTTCAAACGCCTTGTCTTGCCAGCATCCTTGTGTGAAATGCAGTTAGGTACTCATTGGCAATAACACTGCACTCTAGATTGATGGGGAGTAGTAGGAAGGGTTTCGACTTTACTCCCCTGTTCAGGGATATCTGCAGTCCAATGTAATCATCTGGCAAACTTGCAAACGATTCCGAAACCAGTAAACATCCGCCATTTAAATGATTTCTTATAGGCATCTCTTCTAATTAGTTAAAACTACTCTCACCTTCTGGATGAAGGAAGACATTAGAAGGGGGAGAAAGTTTGTAAAAAGATAAGCAACAAATGAAGACAGAAGTTTTGTGTTTGTTGGAGCTGGCGTTTTCAACCAGCAAGGGCTACAGAATCATCGAAGGAGGGCAAAGAATCATCAGGGCATTCTCTGTGTGAGAAGGAGAGGTCTGAAACACAAAGAGCATCACTCCGCTCCCTGCTAGCAGGAGTTCCCTGGGGAAGAGAGGCACATCTGAATTCCTTTTTTTTTTTTTTTTTTAATCCCCTGCTGTCTTTGTGTCGTGCTGTGCAACTATTACCCTGCCGCTCAGCGGCTTTCTTTCTTTTTTTTTTATAAAGGCATCGTCAAAAACCTGAAGTTAATGCCACACCAGCCTAAGGGGTAAACAGAGAACTTGATGTCACAGTATCACACTGAGTGAGGCACTCTCTGGAATATAAAGCTGAGTTTTAATTTCCAGTACAGCCATTGCTCCAATGATGCGTGGAGACACTGTAAATCCCATTTACACATGGTTAAGAAACCTAAGTTAGGGCTTCATGCTCTACAAATATTTCAGGTTCTGGGTTTCTTCCCCTCCATATACTTTTTTTTTTTAATGGCGATAAATTGTCCAGAAGATCACGCAATGTAGAAAATGTGGTTCACAGAGACAGTTCTATCAGCAGGGCATAGGCTTGTTCAGAATTTGGCTTCCTCCTTTATTTCCATCTTTCCTTCCCTTTGACCTGATTGTAGAGAAATGTTTGGATACAGAGACCATAAAGCATCTCTGGCCCCTTTCCTTTTTACTTTGCTATCGGACACCAGTCTTGTTTAGATGCTCACTTGTAGTCCTTGTCTACCCTGTTAGGGCACCCTACAAGAAACACAGGGCTGCCATAGAAAAATGGCATCTCCGTGTCACATTCTCCTCTTGGACCAGGCACACTCTGGTTTCTATAACTACAGTATGGATTCCTGGATTTTTCAGTCTATATCTGTCAGGACCCACAGCTAAACAACGAAGTACACGCTTTCAGGAAGGTTTTACTTTTATTGAAAAGCCATAGATGCGATAACAGGAACACTGTTAGGAATGGCGGGCTACCTGTGCGCATAATAGAATATAGGGCATTTGTATGCACCCCCCCTAGCAATAACCAATTAGGTGGGCTCCCGCGCATGGGAGACTGCAGGACTCTCTAACGGTTGCGAAGCTGGGAACGGAGAAGCTCCCACGGACGATAGACACCACATTCTCCACCAGTACAACATCAAAGATAAGCGTTGCAGCTCTGAAGCAATTAAGCGCATGGGAAGGAATGCAAAGCAATTAGAAAACATCTCCACACTCATGGCAGCGTAGCTGACAATATCATGAGAATGACCCTGACATGGATAGCCCAGGCTAGCCCGATCTCGGAAGCTAAGCAGGTTTAGCCCTGCTTAGTGCTTGGACAGGAGACCACCAAGGAAGTCCAGGGTTGTGATGCAGAGGCAGGCCGTGGCCAACCGTCTCTTGCCCTGAAAACCCTAGGGGGTTGCCATAGCTTGGCTGTGACTTGATGGCAAAAAAACCCAAAACCACGAGTGAGAAGAAATCAAAACCAGTACTGACTGGCCGGTTCTTTGGGTTTTTAGCTGAGTATTTTGTGTGTTGTTTGTGTGTGTGTGTGCGTGCATGCACATGTGCACTTTGAAGTCATGGTTGATTTCTGGTGACCCCTAGTGGGGCTTGGAGGTTTCAGAGAGGTGGCTTACTATTGCCCGCCTCTGCATCTCAGTCCTGGTATTCCTTGGAGAGGTCTCCCTTCCAAGCATTTGCCAGGGTCAGCTCTGCTTAGCTGACAAGATATAACGAGATCGGGCTTGTCTGGGCCATCCAGGCCAGGGCCTGACAGAATATTTCTAGAAACCTGGCACCTTGTGCCAAGCTCTCTCCTAGCTCCGCATGATGTATAGTAAAACCCTATATACCAATGTTATCTTGTTTTGTGTTTTACTAACTGGTAGGAGTGGAGGAATGAACAACATAACGATGTCTTACGTGAGGTAAGTTACATGGTAGTACAGGGGGAGGGGGATAGACGCAGTGCCATTATGCTTATAAAAGAAACGTACACAATTTGCTTTTAAATTAGTAGGTCCCAGTTGTATATAACATGGTTAGTTTGTCTTGACTTGTTCCTAATTCAAGCTGGCAGTTCTCACCCCACGTTTTTGTGTGTGTGTGTGCAGAAGCTTACTGCTCGATTACTTTGTTTTCTAAGTATGTCAGCCAGTTTTTTTAAAAAGAAATCATTGTGTTGTGAGGCTGCTAAAACTGAAATAATGTCAATTAGTAGTGCCTCAATTAGTATAGATCATTTATTCAACAAGCATTGCTATAAAAATTCATCATTGAGTACAAAATTTGTTATTGAGTACAAAATAGGTGTGTGTGTATGTGCAGCTGCAGGAGTGACAAAGCATTCATTCTGATGTCCTCAGGTATATAATATTCCAAAACACTAACGCAGGAGTGATTTCTCACTCTGAATATTAATTGCTCTGTTCTCTGCTTGTTTAGTCTGGTCATTGGCTTCTGTTGCTGAAAGAACCTTGTTTACTGTAGATATTGGAAGCTGCTGCTTTATGTCACTTTGGGGGATTATCTGTGTGTAGTGTTTTT